TTAGTACTGATACAAACTTTACCAGTGTGACTTTATATTGGCTGGGATTGTCACGTGACTTGCATATTCCAAATTGTTTTATTATAAAATATTCAACCCTCTGTGTATATGGATGTATTTGTAAACTGTGTCCAAATTCTTGATTAATTAGTAGCGTCATAGAGTAATGTAGATTGCAACTATTTTTCTTTTAACTTATTCTTCTTTTAAGGAACCTGATAATTAAAAACAAGAGTTTATCACTAGCTGAGTGATCTGCTGCTTTTTGAGAAGTAGTTTTAAAACGCATCATTAATGAGATAAATAACGGATACCTATCATTAGAATAATATCAGCATATGTTTTTCTAACTGTAACGATTGCCATTTCATGAGAAATCCTGTGAAAAAAGATGAGGTTACAAACCTGATCCACGTGATATTATTATGATTCTACTCCGTCAGTTTTCTTACTCTGTAACTTTCCTACTAAAAGCGTCTCAGAAATTACTCGGGCTGCGTCTGCTTCTAATTATTTCTGTCTGTGAGGAAAAATAATTTCCTTCTTTTCTCTTTTTTGGTAAATTTATTTTATCTTAGCAGTGAAACGAAAGTCCTTGTCTGAAGTGCGTCTTTAAGGTCGGTCCTTACCCCGGCATTTTTTATTGTTTTAATTTTAACAACGTATGAGCTAAATAACTTGTTAGCCCCTATACTGACGGTCACAGATACCCTGAGGGTGAACTGAATGAACACGTTACAACTTTTAACGGCTGAAAGAGGTTGCAACACCATACAAGGCAATCTATCGTTTCAAGCTTCTACCACTAATATCTTAACAGATGATGAGTTTTGAATAAGTACAGTCGTACGTGAAGTACAGAATCGACAGAATGCAAATCGTACAATAAGCTTTTAATCTTCAGGCATGTCATATAAAAATTGACGATTAAAGCCATCAGATGACACTACTTTTTAATACGTCGCTTCTTGAAAACAATGGCACAGTGGTATGTCTGCGGACTTACAACGCAAGAAACCGGGTTTCGATACCCGTGGTGGGCATTGTGTAGCTCTGTGCATAACTACAAACAAACAGAATCTTGAAAACAAAATAACTTTGTTTCCGTGAAGATATCTTTGTAAAACGGATTATATAATACACAGGGAACTAAACCCGAGATTTCGCTTTTCGTTTCGAGTAAAACAACAATAACAAAGCTGAGACCACTTTAATCTGAAATCCTAGAAAATGTGGAAACACCACCTAATCACTTATAAAATTGTTTAAAAGTTAATCCACCTTTTTAGTACAAAACAATAAAAAAGACATATGTTAAAATCATGAAATATGAATAAGAGATTGAAATGTATTACAATTTATGCAAATTAATTATTAATCAACACGCTTTTTTTTTATTTTGAATTAAGATATGACATATATATATAATCAAGGATTCTTAAAATAAACGACAATAGATGTGCACATTTTTTCCTTCTCTACGAGGGTCGCGGGTTCGAATCCGTGTCCCACCAAACATGCTCGCCCTTTCAGCCGTGGGGGCGTTATAATGTGACGGTCAATCCCATATTCATTGGTAAAAGAGTAGCCCAAGAGTTGGCGGTGGGTGGTGATGATTAGCTGCCTTCCCTCTAGTCTTACACTGCTAAATCAGGGACGGCTAGCGCAGATAGCCCTCGTGTAGCTTTGCGCGAAATTAAAAAACAAACAATGGAGATTTACATGCCTTTTACCATCTAAACATTTAAAGTGAACCTTATATGTATTGTTGACATCTAAATACCAAAACCTAATTGTGGAGGTTCTGTGTTAATAAACAGTATTTTTTTATATACATTACAAGAAAATGATGTTGACGGGGCTGTACGCAGATT